CCGCCCGCCCGCCCGACCGCGTGATAACATAATACGTCCCCGTCTTTGACGGGCGTATAAAAATGTTTGATATTTGTCAAATTTATATCCTAAATTAAATCTCATTCTCTTGTTTTGTTATATATTAAAACAGTTAAAAAATATTTGTTTTGTTTTGACAAATAGCAGTTTGCAAGAAATAAGTTGCTCTCATGAACTTTAATTCTAAGCGGTGACTGAATTGAAGTATTCAGAATTGCTTCACATACTTAACAGCTAACATACGGTCACATTTTATGTAATATACCCTACAGTTAGGACACAATTCATGATAGGATTTATCCTGTAGTTAAAAGTCCCTGTGCTCCCAGAAACTGGGGTTTTATACACGACAAGAGATAATGTTTTATCTTACTAACCTATACACCACTAACCAATCAGAGAGCTGCATTTTAACTATGAAAGATAACGCATTCGTATTTTGAAGGGATTAATCATGACAATGAATGTACTTTCAAAGGAACTGTACTCATTTGCATTTTTTTACATTCTGTATCTGCATAACCTTTCTGTAATTATCTTTTAGCACAGCCATCAAATTTAACTTATTGCTTTTACGACTGAACAGTTGAATCACTATAGCGATCCATCTGTATTTGTACACAGCTAACAACTTACCTAGCATTATTTGTTTCCTGTGTGACGTCCCACGCCCATGTGATAAAGTTACCACACAGATAGTTCACTATCGTCTCCATACACAATATTTGGGAACAGAATACATTTGATAATATACTGTTGTCGTGATGAAGATATACAGCTAGTAGTTTTCTCTGAAAGCGAAACAAAGAATCAGATAATCATCCAAACTATAAAGCTCTGGGGTGTTTATATTTAATGTTAATACATTAATACTATACACAAGTAGGTAAGAGATGGAGCATCAACACCAGGGATTCCAGGAATCAGGAGATTTTATTTGTCGACATGTTTCGGTAGACTGGGCCTTCCGTCATCAGAACAATTTTACAGTGGCAATGTAGAGCTAAGGTGCAAATTACGGTTCACAATATCATGACATCATGATATTGTTATTTAGATCACGTGATATAAACAAGTTTTGGAGGGAAATTGTGACTGCAAATTGGCGACGTTGTTATCGGCTAGAATATAAACAGTGGTAAAAAGCAAGACTGGCTTGGTTTGTCCTTCAATGACAATGAAATAAAATGTATACCCAAAGGACAATAGATATTTCTACTAAAATTACACATAAACCATGAATCAATTAAGTCAATTTAAGTGTTCTCATACTTTTACTTCCTCGTAGGCATGTTAAGCCATTGTTCTTTAAATTCCATGTGGGGATGCTGGGAATGGTAAAATATGAATACTTGGACAGGAATGTTTGGTAGTGCTGTTGTAGTTCGTTCAAGTTGCAGGTATATTGTTGACATACTTCTTATATCCAAAACAAAATTAGACGACAGTTTCCCGGAATCACAATTCTGTGTAAAAAATTACCACCTATGGAGGGCCGATAGGAATTCTCATGGAGGAGGAATAGCGACATACTTCCAATCAGACTTGCCAGGTCATCATCTTAAAGAAATGGACTTTGGAAAAATGGAATCCATCTCTATTGAACTAAATTTAAATAATGTTAAATGGCTTATTCAAGGTGTATATCGACCTCCTAACATGACAGAAAGTTTTACGGATGATTTTTGCAAAACTTTTGACAGGTGCACTACAAAATATGACAATCTGATGGTTATCGGGGACATAAATCATGACCTACTAACACCTGAAGGTCAGCCTTTGCAGAATATCTGTGATATTTTTGATTTGTCCAATTTAGTTAAACAAGAGGCCCATGGGCCTTAACGGTCACCTGAGTCTATAGTATTTATTTTTGTTGTTGAAATATGTACCAATTTGAGTAAAAAATAGTATAATGTTAACTTAACTTTGTCAGGACCATGAGCTGATCATTCCTAGACCAATTTTAAGTGAGATCGGCCTATTAGAACTTAGTAGCAAAATAGCGGCCATGGCAGCCAAATTGTATTTCTGATTGACCCGAAAAATAACAACACTTTGTCAGGACCATGATTCGATCATTCCTACAAAGTTTCAGTTCAATCGGCCAAGTAGATCTTTACTTTAAGTTTGAAATAGTTTACCAAAATGGCAGCCGTGGTGGCCATATTGGATTTCTGATCGACCCGAAAAATAACAACACTTTGTCAGGACCATGAGTCAATCATTCCTACAAAGTTTCAGTTCAATCGGCCTAGCAGAACTTGACTTTAAGTTTGAAATATGTTTTCAAAATGGTGGCCGTGGCGGCCATATTGGATTTATGATTGACCTGAAAAATAACAACACTTTGTCAGGACCATGAGTCGATCATTCCTACAAACTTTAAGTTCAATCGGTCCAGCAGAACTTGACTTTAAGTTTGAAATAGGTTTTCAAAATGGCGGCCGTGGCGGCCATATTGGATTTCTGATCGACCCGAAAAATAACAACACTTTGTCAGGACCATGAGGCGATCATTCCTACCAACTTTCAGTTCAATCGGTCCAGCAGAACTTGACTTTAAGTTTGAAATAGGTTTTCAAAATGGCGGCCGTGGCGGCCATATTGGATTTCTGATCGACCCGAAAAATAACAACACTTTGTCAGGACCATGAGGCGATCATTCCTATCAACTTTCAGTTCAATCGGCCCAGCAGAACTTGACTTTAAGTTTGAAATGTAAAATGTTAACGGACGACGGACGACGGACGACGGACGACGTACGACGGACGACGGACGACGACGGACGAAAACGGATAGCAATAGGTCACTTGAGCTAAAGCTCAGGTGACCTAAAAACCAACTTGCCACCCGAAAAACACTGAACCAACGTTAATTGATGTGACTTTAACCAACAAACCATTATCAACTGGGAAAATATGTAATTTTAATACTGGTATCAGCGATGTACATAATTTGATATCATTTCAATTCAAAAGCAAAATATCTGTGAGGAAACAACCATTGTTAACATATAGAAGTTTTAAAGATTTTAACATTGAACATTTTAACACAGACCTACAGAATGCAGCATTAGAAGCAACTGTAAAACACACAGATGACAACACAGCATACAATCATTTCAGTAACACACTAACAGAAATAATAAACAAACACACCCCAATAAAACAAAGAAAAGCCAGATTAAACCAAGCACCCTTCATGAACAAAAAACTAAGACAAGAAATCTATCACAAAAAGATGCTTCACAACAAGTTCCTCTCAAACCGCACCAAACACAACTGGGAAAAATATAGAACACAGAGAAACAAAGTCACCAAACTCAGAAAACAATCAATAAAACACAACTTTATAGACAGATGCACGGGGGCCCAAAACAACCAAAACTTTTGGAAAACAATAAAACCATTCATAACAAACAAAGTCTGCCAAAATCAAGTAGACATTATATTAGAAGAACAGGGTAGGATAGTAAACAAACAAAACGAAGTAGCCGACATCTTTAATACATTTTTCGTAAATGTGGCAAAGAATATTGGATCAAACAGCCGACCCATAAATGATGAACACCCTAGCCTACAGGCAATCACCAAAAACAGACATCAAGATAAACACTTCACATTTCAACCTGTAGACGAAGATTTCATAAACAAACAGTTCAACAAAATAAACCCAAGAAAAGCAACAGGACACGACAATATTTCACCCAAACTACTACGACTAGCACAACCCAGCATTATCAAACCAGTCACCACACTTGTAACTCTCTCTCTCACTACATCAACATTTCCAGACACACTAAAAACAGCACAAGTCAGACCAATACACAAAAAGAACAGCACCCTTGAGAAAGGAAATTACAGACCGGTAAGTATACTCCCGGCACTCTCCAAAGTCTTCGAGAGATCCATACACTCCCAACTCAGTGACTTCTTTGATAGTGTTTTTTATCCCTACCTCTCTGCATTCAGAACTGGATACGGATGTCAGACAGCATTATTGCGAGTCATAGAGGATTGGAAAATGGCACTTGACCAGAATAAGTATGTAGGCTTTTGACTGTGTCTGCCTCACAACCTCCTTCTGCTAAAACTACAAAATTATGGACTTTCTATTTCAGCTTCAGAACTATTGTCAAACTACCTCAAAAACAGAAAACAAAATGTCAAATTATGAAATTATGAAAGTACTTTTCAGGAACCAAACAAAGGAGTCCCTCAGGGATCAATTTTAGGCCCAATTCTGTTCAATATTTTCATAAATGACATTTTCCACATCATACAACACTGTGAACTTTACAACTACGCTGATGACAATACAATTAGTAAAGCATACACTTCACTAGACAGTCAAAACTTCACTACAAACAGACTGCGATTCACGTATTCCCTGGTTCGATAACAATCATATGCAAGCAAACCCAGACAAATTTCAAGCCATGGCCATAGGAAACAAAGCACAAAATGAAAACATTACTTTCAACATAGGCAACAACACAATAAAATGTGAACCAGAAGTAAAATGACTAGGGGTCACCATAGACTTCCAGTTAAACTTCCATACACACGTATCCAACATCTGCAAAAAAGCATCTAGACAGCTCAACTCGCTCAAACGCATAGGATAACACCTTATCTAGACAGCTCAACTCACTCAAAGGCATAGGATAACACCTTATCTAGACAGCTCAACTCACTCAAACGCATAGGAAAACACCTTATCTGGACAGCTCAACTCACTCAAACGCATAGGAAAACACCTTATCTGGACAGCTCAACTCACTCAAACGCATAGGAAAACACCTTATCTGAACAGCTCAACTCACTCAAATGCACAGGAAAACACCTTATCTGGACAGCTCAACTCACTCAAACGCATAGGAAAACACCTTATCTAGACAGCTCAACTCACTCAAACGCATAGGAAAACACCTTATCTGGACAGCTCAACTCACTCAAACGCATAGGAAAACACCTTATCTGGACAGCTCAACTCACTCAAACGCATAGGAAAACACCTTATCTGGACAGCTCAACTCACTCAAACGCATAGGAAAACACCTTATCTGGACAGCTCAACTCACTCAAACGCATAGGAAAACACCTTATCTGGACAGCTCAACTCACTCAAACGCATAGGAAAACACCTTATCTGGACAGCTCAACTCACTCAAACGCATAGGAAAACACCTTATCTGGACAGCTCAACTCACTCAAACGCATAGGAAAACACCTTATCTGGACAGCTCAACTCACTCAAACGCATAGGAAAACACCTTATCTGGACAGCTCAACTCACTCAAACGCATAGGAAAACACCTTATCTGGACAGCTCAACTCACTCAAACGCATAGGAAAACACCTTATCTGGACAGCTCAACTCACTCAAACGCATAGGAAAACACCTTATCTGGACAGCTCAACTCACTCAAACGCATAGGAAAACACCTTATCTGGACAGCTCAACTCACTCAAACGCATAGGAAAACACCTTATCTGGACAGCTCAACTCACTCAAACGCATAGGAAAACACCTTATCTGGACAGCTCAACTCACTCAAACGCATAGGAAAACACCTTATCTGGACAGCTCAACTCACTCAAACGCATAGGAAAACACCTTATCTGGACAGCTCAACTCACTCAAACGCATAGGAAAACACCTTATCTGGACAGCTCAACTCACTCAAACGCATAGGAAAACACCTTATCTGGACAGCTCAACTCACTCAAACGCATAGGAAAACACCTTATCTGGACAGCTCAACTCACTCAAACGCATAGGAAAACACCTTATCTGGACAGCTCAACTCACTCAAACGCATAGGAAAACACCTTATCTGGACAGCTCAACTCACTCAAACGCATAGGAAAACACCTTATCTGGACAGCTCAACTCACTCAAACGCATAGGAAAACACCTTATCTGGACAGCTCAACTCACTCAAACGCATAGGAAAACACCTTATCTGGACAGCTCAACTCACTCAAACGCATAGGAAAACACCTTATCTGGACAGCTCAACTCACTCAAACGCATAGGAAAACACCTTATCTGGACAGCTCAACTCACTCAAACGCATAGGAAAACACCTTATCTGGACAGCTCAACTCACTCAAACGCATAGGAAAACACCTTATCTGGACAGCTCAACTCACTCAAACGCATAGGAAAACACCTTATCTGGACAGCTCAACTCACTCAAACGCATAGGAAAACACCTTATCTGGACAGCTCAACTCACTCAAACGCATAGGAAAACACCTTATCTGGACAGCTCAACTCACTCAAACGCATAGGAAAACACCTTATCTGGACAGCTCAACTCACTCAAACGCATAGGAAAACACCTTATCTGGACAGCTCAACTCACTCAAACGCATAGGAAAACACCTTATCTGGACAGCTCAACTCACTCAAACGCATAGGAAAACACCTTATCTGGACAGCTCAACTCACTCAAACGCATAGGAAAACACCTTATCTGGACAGCTCAACTCACTCAAACGCATAGGAAAACACCTTATCTGGACAGCTCAACTCACTCAAACGCATAGGAAAACACCTTATCTGGACAGCTCAACTCACTCAAACGCATAGGAAAACACCTTATCTGGACAGCTCAACTCACTCAAACGCATAGGAAAACACCTTATCTGGACAGCTCAACTCACTCAAACGCATAGGAAAACACCTTATCTGGACAGCTCAACTCACTCAAACGCATAGGAAAACACCTTATCTGGACAGCTCAACTCACTCAAACGCATAGGAAAACACCTTATCTGGACAGCTCAACTCACTCAAACGCATAGGAAAACACCTTATCTGGACAGCTCAACTCACTCAAACGCATAGGAAAACACCTTATCTGGACAGCTCAACTCACTCAAACGCATAGGAAAACACCTTATCTGGACAGCTCAACTCACTCAAACGCATAGGAAAACACCTTATCTGGACAGCTCAACTCACTCAAACGCATAGGAAAACACCTTATCTGGACAGCTCAACTCACTCAAACGCATAGGAAAACACCTTATCTGGACAGCTCAACTCACTCAAACGCATAGGAAAACACCTTATCTGGACAGCTCAACTCACTCAAACGCATAGGAAAACACCTTATCTGGACAGCTCAACTCACTCAAACGCATAGGAAAACACCTTATCTGGACAGCTCAACTCACTCAAACGCATAGGAAAACACCTTATCTGGACAGCTCAACTCACTCAAACGCATAGGAAAACACCTTATCTGGACAGCTCAACTCACTCAAACGCATAGGAAAACACCTTATCTGGACAGCTCAACTCACTCAAACGCATAGGAAAACACCTTATCTGGACAGCTCAACTCACTCAAACGCATAGGAAAACACCTTATCTGGACAGCTCAACTCACTCAAACGCATAGGAAAACACCTTATCTGGACAGCTCAACTCACTCAAACGCATAGGAAAACACCTTATCTGGACAGCTCAACTCACTCAAACGCATAGGAAAACACCTTATCTGGACAGCTCAACTCACTCAAACGCATAGGAAAACACCTTATCTGGACAGCTCAACTCACTCAAACGCATAGGAAAACACCTTATCTGGACAGCTCAACTCACTCAAACGCATAGGAAAACACCTTATCTGGACAGCTCAACTCACTCAAACGCATAGGAAAACACCTTATCTGGACAGCTCAACTCACTCAAACGCATAGGAAAACACCTTATCTGGACAGCTCAACTCACTCAAACGCATAGGAAAACACCTTATCTGGACAGCTCAACTCACTCAAACGCATAGGAAAACACCTTATCTGGACAGCTCAACTCACTCAAACGCATAGGAAAACACTGTAACAGATTAGGCAAACTTACAATATACCATTTATTCACTCAAATTTTAATTTCTGTCCACTTACATGGCACTTTTGCGGTGAGACAAACACACAAAAAATGGAAAAAATCCAAGAAAGGGCTCTAAAATTCATTTACGATGAACACGAAAATACATATGAAAATTTACTAGCCCGTTCAAAATTACCATCACTCAAAATCAGACGACTCAGAAATTTTGCAATAGAAGTATTTAAGATCACAAATAAACAGACACCAACATACCTACACGACCTTATCAACATCACAGATAAATCATACACATTCAGATATCACAACACAGCAGATGTACCACATGTTAGGACTACAAAGTATGGTAAACACTCATTTCAATCTGAAGCAACTAAAATATGCAATGCCCTACCAGACCACTTCAGAACAAGACAGCTGGTATGGGCCAAAATGCAAATGCAACACATGCAGACAAAACACACATAGGCTCCCAATACAGTTATACATGTTTTTAGCTAAAGCTTACCTCTATTTATGTCACCTCTCTATTAGAAAGTGCTCATCTTTTAATATGTTTTGCCAAATATTTATTGTGTAACTGTGCATGTAATTTTATGTGTCGGTTTTAATAGCTCATTAGAGCTAATGTTGTATTGTTTTTTACCATACCGATGTTAAATAAAACTTTTTATTTGATTTGATTTGAGGTTCTCAATCGTTGTACATAGTGGTCATTTCTGTCCAGTGGTTGATACTAGCGGCCTTCGATACTAAATACTTTGCCTGAGAGTAAGCCTTTGATACTAAATACCTTGCCTGATACTAGCAGCCTTCGATACTAAATACCTTGCCTGATACTAGCGGCCTTCGATACTAAATACCTTGCCTGATACTAGCGGCCTTCGATACTAAATACCTTGCCTGATACTAGCGGCCTTCGATACTAAATACTTTGCCTGAGAGTAAGCCTTTGATACTAACTATACATATGAATATCTTGACCAAGATATAAGACTGAAGCTGCATGTTCACATTTTACTTACATCTTTAGCTCTACATAGTAAAGATTCCTTTATTGCGCCTTCTAGTGACCCGACGAAAAACACTGGGTGTGTCTCTCCATATCTGCAACAAATATCAAGTTAAGATGATTCTTAGAATTATGGAACATCAGTTTAGACGGTTACGAGCTGTTTACTTGTTTACTGTTTAATCTTTCGACAATCAAAGTGTTATATTGTGAAACAACATCAAGTTTTTATGATTACAATGGTTCCCAGGAATAATAGGTACAAATTAAAAAGGAAGAAATAACTTATAACTTTTATTTTTCAATGTGTATCCATATTTTGTATTAAGAGAAAAGTATGAGAAAAATGCATGTAGTTCATCAGTAACTAGAATTTTGTTTTTGTGAACAAAAACATAGGTTTCCCCTTATTAGCCAAAAGACAAACTTTGGTAAATAAATTTAACAAAGGGCCATATGATATCTCTTTATATAGTGGGGCACGAGACCCGAATTTAGAATGCGACACTCCTACTTCCCAAGATACATTAAACTATAGCAAGTTTGGTCAATGTAGGTGAAATAACATGGAAGTTATGCCATGGACAAAGTTCGGTATTAAAAACAAGAGGCCCAATGGGCCTGCATCGCTCACCTGGTATAAATCTCACCCTTGTAACCTTAAAAGTGATCTAAAATAAAGCTACAGGCAAAATAAAATATCAGTATTTATGATTAAAATTCATTCAAAAGAACCTGTTATTTTTTTTTTAAACATTTCACCCCTGTGATTGAAAGTCGAACAAAGTCATTATGATGAACAAATTTTAAAGCCTTTCATCTCAGGATGCAACTTGCAAAGTATCAACATCCTGAGACCCATGGTTATTCAGAAGAGGCCGATTAAAGATTTTACACAAATTTGACCCCTGTGACCTTGAATATAAGTCAAAGTCATTCACTTTAACAAACATAGTAGTCCTTGATCCCAGCATGCTACTGACTAAATATCAACAAAGTGTTATATTGTGAAACAACATCAAGTTTTTTGGTTATTCAGAACAAGTTTTTTTTTTTTTTTATATTTTAACCATTTTTGCTCCTTGTGACCTTGAATATGATTTTTAACATATTTGACCCCTGTGACCTTGAATATAGGTGAAGGTCATTCATTTTAACAAACTTTGTAGCCCTTTACCCCAGCATGCTACTGGCCAAATATCATCACCCTGTGCATTTTGGTTATTCAGAAGAAGTTGTTTAATGTTTTTAACATATTTGACCCCTGTGACCTTGAATATAGGTGAAGGTCATTCATTTTAACAAACTTTGTAGCCCTTCATCTCAGCATGCTACTGGCCAAATATCATCACCCTGGGCATTTTGGTTATTCAGAAGAAGTTGTTAAAAGTTTTTAACATATTTGACCCCTGTGACCTTGAATATGGGTGAAGGTCATTCATTTGAACAAACTTTGTAGCCCTTCATCTCAGCATGCTACTGGCCAAATATCATCACCCTGGGCATTTTGGTTATTCAGAAGAAGTTGTTTAAAGGTTTTTTAAGACAATTGACCCCTGTGACCTTGAATATAATTAAAGGTCATTTATTTTAACAAACTTTGTAGCCCTTCACCCAAGCATGCTACTGGCCAAATATCATCACCCTGGGCATTTTGGTTGTTGAGAAGAAGTTGTTTTAAGTTTTTAACATATTTGACCCCTGTGACCTTGAATATGGGTGAAAGTCATTCATTTGAACAAACTTTGTAGCCTTTAATCTCAGTTTGCTTCTGGCCAAATATCATCACCCTGGGCATTTTGGTTATTCAGAAGAAGTTGTTTAAAGGTTTTTTTAAGACAATTGACCCCTGTGACCTTGAATATAATTAAAGGTCATTTATTTGAACAAACTTGGTAGCCCTTCACCCAAGCATGCTACTGGCCAAATATCATCTCCCTGGGCAGTTTGGTTATCGAGTAGAAGATGTTTAAAGTTTTTCACATATTTGACCCCTGTGACCTTGAAAATGGGTGAAGGTCATTAATTTTAACAAACTTTGCAGCCCTTCATCCCAGTTTGCTTCTGGCCAAATATCATCACCCTAGGCCTTTTGGTTACTGAGAAGAAGTCGTTTAAAGTAAAATATTGACGCCGGAAGCCGTACCACGGCATAAGCTCACTTGGCAATTCGTGCCAGGTGAGCTAATAAACAATGTGCCATAACTATGCTTATAGTGAGGCACAAAACCTGATTTTAGTGGGAGAGATTCCTCCTTCCCAAGATACATAAATATGGTAAGTTTGGTCAACGTTGGTGAAATAACATGGAACTTATGCTTTGTACAAACTTCGGTACTAAAAATAAACAAAGGACCATAACTCTGTATATAGTGGGGCACGAGACCTAGTTCTAGTGCGCTGCACACCTTCTGTGGGTGATGCAGGTATATTTTAAGTTTGATTAAGATATCTTTAATGGTTTAGAGGTTATGCCGTGGACAAACTTCGGTATTAAAAATAAACAAAGGGCCATTACTCTGTATATAGTGGTGCATAAAACCTGATTTTAGTGTGAGGGATTCCGTCTTCCCATGATACATAAATATGGTAAGTTTGGTAAACGTAGGTGAAACAACATGGAACTTATGCTCCAGACAAACCTCAGTATTAAAATTTAACAAAGGGCCATAACTATATAGTGGGGCACGAGACCTAATTCCAGTGCACTGAACACCTTCTGTGAGTGATGCAGGTATACTTCAAGTTTGATCAAGATATCTTTAACGGTTTAAAATTTACGGGCCGGACAAGAATTTACTGAAAATGTTGCACTTATTTGACCTTTGACCTTGAGGTGAAGGTCACAGTGACCTAATTCCAGTACACTGCACACCTTCTGTGGGTGATGCATGCATACCTAAAGTTTCATCAAGACGTCTTTAACGGTTTAAAATTTACGGGCCGGACAAGTTGCGATAAGAAGAACCAGAAGCCAGAAGAAGAACCAGTATTAATACAATATGTGTCCCTTCATTGGAAGGGGAGACGTAACTACAATATCAGTCACATTATCCTGCAGATCCCTAACTCACATTTGAAGTGTACCTACCTCTCCCTGGAATCACGTGTAAAGTGTACCTACCTCTCCCTGGAATCACGTGTAAAGTGTAACTACCTCTTCCTGAACTCGCATGTTAAGTGTAACTACCTCTCCCTGAACTCGCTTGTAAAGTGTACCTACCTCTCCCTGAACTCGCATTTGAAGTGTACTTACCTCTCCCTGAACTCGCATGTGAAGTGTACCTACCTCTCCCTGAACTCGCATGTAAAGTGTACCTACCTCTCCCTGGAATCGCGTGTTAAGTGTACCTACCTCTGCCTGAACTCGCATGTGAAGTGTACCTACCTCTCACTGAACTCACGTGTGACTGTGAAGTGTACCTACCTCTCCATGAACTCGCATGTAAAGTGTACCTACCTCTCCCTGACCTCACATGTTAAGTGCACCTACCTCTCCCGGAACTTGCATGTAAAGTGTACCTACCTCTCCCTCGACTCACATGTTAAGTGCACCTACCTCTCCCGGAACTCGCATGTAAAGTGTACCTACCTCTCCCTGAACTCACATGTGAAGTGTACCTACCTCTCCCTGAACTCGCGTGTGAAGTGTTCTAAGGCCTCGGTTTGATCACCCACAGTGTCCGGCACTAAAACAAACAGTTACACTAAATTTAGACAGGAGAAATATTTAGCTATGTAACTCTTAAGCACTTTATAGTAAAGCAAGAGATATTGTTGTTTATTCTTAAACTTCATTACGAAAAGATGCTCACAGGTTGAATTCTTAGAACAGGTAAATTATCACACATTGTACATATCCAGAATCTTGTTATGAAATGATACTCATAGTTAACTGTAGAAGTTATTTTTAGTTACTTTTATCTAAAAATGTGAATTTTACAATGTTCATGGGATGATGAACTATTAATGAACAGGTTAATTTGACTCTGGACCGACTTGATTCCTCACTCTCATTAACTTGACAATATATATTTCCCATAGAATTAAACATTTCTAAAATGAATATGAAATTGGCGGCAGACCTCGAGCAAAATCAGCACAAATCAATGATTGTGAAATGCTTTTCAAATGTGATTTCATTTCCATCATAACTTAGTTACTCTGCCAAGGGTAACCAAATCAGTTTCATTGGGAAATGAACCGGGTGCACTTAACAATTTATTAAGTTCAACTTGAGTATAAATGTAAATATTATGCTTTTCAAATACAAAAATATTTGTACAAGTCACATTTGTTTATGGTATGTTATTCCGATGCTTACTTAGTGGTGTCTGTTTCCGACTGTTCTTTGATTCTTCGTGTTCAAAGATGTCTTCCTCTACTGCATACGAGTCGTTATTTTCATCGTCATCATCACTTATATCTATTTCCGATGTATCCTGTCAGTTAATTATAAAGTAACAAAATCTGTCAACATTTGAATTGTTGACATAACATCTCAGCATTTTTATGAAGTTAAAAAAAGTTCACATTTTACCTTTAATGATAATGATGAAACTTCTTTTTGCAACATCACAGTGTTTTCCATATACCCTGTAAGAATCTTATCCAAGTTGCATAGCCAAGTAAAATTACTTTATCATTGTTATATACAACTATATATTTTTTGCACATCTGTTTTATATCAAATCAGTTGGGACTATGAAAACACATCTGAGATATATATTGAACAGTATATTTAATATCAAACAGCGTATTTGAAAATGACCTGTATATTTGATAATGAACTGTATATACAGCTGTGTACTGTACTGTATAAGCTTGCTGATATACAGCTGTGACTTACCTGTACTGTATAAGCTTGCTGATATACAGCTGTGACTTACCTGTACTGTTTTAGCTTGCTGATATACAGGTGTGACCTCCTGTACTGTTTTAGCTTGCTGATATACAGGAGTGACTTACCTGTACTGTATAAGCTTGCTGATATACAGCTGTGACTTACCTGTACTGTATAAGCTTGCTGATATACAGGTGTGAC